GGGGGCAGTGAAGGGGGTGGGGGGCTCTAGGGGTTAGGGCTGGCTCTGGGGGACTCTAGAGGCCAAGGCTTTTGAAGGACCGGTAAGACTTTATTTGAATATTTGCGTATTCATTGTTAAATAATAAATATGCAAATGTTACCAGTCTGCCAAAAGTTTGTGAATGAGTTTGCAAGTCCCTGGTATCAAAAAGGTTGGGAACCACTAAGTTAACTGATTAACTTAGACAGGACTGCTCTGGTACAGACAGGGGGTATAGACAGAACTGATCCGGTCTCCTGGCTGGAGCAGACCCTGTCTGTGGGGCGCCTGGGCAGAAGAACAGAACCCCTGTCCACAACAGGCCCCTCCCATGGGGCTGGAGCAGCCCTTGGCCTACTGAAGGTAGGGAGCTGCTTCAGCTCCCACTGGTTAACTGGTTAAACATTCACATCCCTATTCCGAAGCCTCCTTGGTAATTTATTTGCATCTTTCCCAACCAGCTGTCCCTCTCTTCTGTGGAATATGCTGCATGTATTTCAGTCCTTTGGTAATGATAAATCCTGCGGATGGTGCAAATTTATGAACAAGAATAGATAGTCCCTACAGCTGGGAAGTAGAGGAGTCCTCACGTATTCCAGCTGACTGCCACGGGACACTTGGGTGCATGTGTGCATACGTGTGTTGGAAGCCTATGCCAGAGAATCAGTACCAGAAAGTCTCCTTTTGTGTCTTGTCAATGTCAGCTGCTGCTATCTTGTATCAGGAGGGCTTGTCTGATTCAAGTGTCAATGAAGATTTCAGTAATAGAAAAGCCATGAGAATGAAACGTGATAGTTTTGATGACATTCACTAGATTCACTTGATGTGATAGTAGTTTTGATGACATTCACTAGATTCACTTGAGGTTTTTTCTTTGTGGATGAGGCCATTGGTTTTACTGGCCTCTTAAGATGAGTAAGACCAGTTTTATAATCAATACACACTGAAATGTTTTGGGTGTTGGACTTGAGATACTTGTTGAATTTACAAAGTTGTATTAAATCAATGTACTTGAATTGTAGCGCTCTCTTCATGAGCTTGAGACCCTCTTTTATTCCATTGAAAGTAGGTACAGCTGCAGCACGAAAAGAAATCATTAGAAACAAAATACGTGCAATTGGCAAGATGGCAAGAGTCTTCTCTGTTCTCAGGTAATTCCACATTCTGTCTCTCCCCAATTTCCTCTATTGAAAGAGAAAAATCTAGTCCAGGCCATTGTATGTAAAGCATTCTTTGTGCAAATCCATAAGCAATAGCTTAGTTAAAATTCTGGCTTCACAGATAGTTTTAAGATTGCTGATGTTGGAGTATTTGGAGAAAAAATGGGTTTGTATTTTGAAAGTTACCATTTAGACTGAGAGAAAATGGAGTTTTGAATCAACATTAATCACTGTGTCCTAACTATAGATGTCTGTCCGTCCATACCTTATGAACAGATACTGAAATAACAATTGTACAACAAAGGGGATCAGGGCTAGATAGGAAAATGTCCCAAAGCTCAGGACTAGTCTGCTACAGATTGTAATACAGTACACTTCTGTAGCTGCCAAACTTTCTTCAGAGTGTGAGTTTACTGAAAAAACAGGAGATCAGATAGAGATCGTGTTTGTCAGACTTGACTTCCGAGACTTACAGAATCTTTGGACCAGAGTGTGAGCAACCTGATCGCACTGATGAGTTCCAGAAAGGAAAAGACAGTCAACTGAGTGTCTAACAGATAATTTCTTGTCCATATTGGAAAGCTTGCCTGTTGTTAGCCCTTTGAAGTTTGAGCTGTATTAAATCTTGACATGGATAAAAAAAATAGCAAAAATATACATTTCCTTATTTTATTTAAATTTCTTATTTAAGTGACTTTATAATGAGGAGACTGCCATTTCATTTCTTTCACCATAGGGAAGAGAGTGAAAGTGTGCTGACACTCAAGGGTTTGACTCCCACTGGAATGCTACCTAGCGGAGTGTTGGCTGGAGGACGTCAGACTCTGCAAAGTGGTAATGATGTTATGCAACTTGCTGTGCCTCAGATGGACTGGGGCACATCTCATTCTTTTGCTAGCACTACACATAATGCATGCAGGGAATTTCTAATGCTTTTCAGTTCTTGTCTTAGCGGCTGAGATGAGCATAGAATTATGTGAAATGGATACCTAACCAGGGTATAAAACTAAAAGCAAATAGTTAGTAGTGGTAGACCAGTATTGTCAGTCTGAGCTTCCTTCATTTAAGCATTTTCAGGTGGCACAAGTGTTTCAGCTGTGGGGTGACTGTTTAGGGCTGTTAATGGATTCTAGAGTCATTTGGTCATTACAGTACAATGTAATTCTTCATTTTTACTTGTCCACTTTTCATTCACACAGTTTTATTACAGATGTGTTACTAGTTTTAATTGGTGAATGTCAATTTTGATGCTAGTATTAACATAAAGCTGCAGGCTGCTGAGCTTCATTTTTTCACTTCATTGACCGATTGAAATGTGCTGCGTTTTGTACCCTGGTAATTAATGCCAAAGTTTGTTCTCTGTTGTTTGTCAAATGTTCTGTGTATAATTGACTTCCCTGAATTGTCCTTGTAACATGCTGTTTCCTTCTTCTGCAGATGTAGCTGCTTTCTTAGGTCTGTCTGTCTCTCTCTAGTTACAGCTGTATGTCTGTATAAGTGTTAAAATTAAACCACTCTTCTAGACACTTGTCTGTCTCTTGATGTAGAAACAACATTGTAGCACCTTGTTTTTGAGGCTTGCTGCATTTACTGCTGCACATTGTCTGTGCATTTTGAAGATTAATGTAATTGAAAATATTGAGAATTGAGAATAAAGGGATTGGATTTAAATTTTGTAAAGTCAAAATCAAAGGGTGTTTAAGTGTGCATATATTTTTGCATGACAATAAAAAGAACTCTACACAAAACATACCTGCAATCTGGCTCATTGAATATTTTTGTAAAAGTTGATATATTTTTTGTTTTTAAACATGGAATCAACTTTTCAGAAGACCATAATAGATTTAACTAGGCATAGCAAGAATATCACAACACTCTTACAAAATGTATCAAATGGATGAAGTCCAGAATTATGTTTGTTGTAATGGATAACTAAAATATCAGCTGGGAAACTGGACTTTACATGTGCAGCACTTTTTAGCATAAATTACTTGAATGCATTTAAACTTTGTCTTGGGTATTTGTATAGTGCCAAACACTGTCTGGGCACTGATTTCTAGCAGTATAGAAAACTTTTAATATATGAACAGAGTCACATTTTACAGTCTGTTTTCCAAGAGTAGCTACTTTTTGTCATTTTGAAATTTAGATACCTATAATGAAAAATTCAGAACATTCAAATCAGGTTTTCTAAAGTTTTATACTAAACTTTCAGTTAATTTATCAGAGCTCTTCTTCAGTGGCTTTGAACTATAAATGTTACATTTTAAAAATAACTTTTTGATGGGTGCACATCTACAAATTAAGTTTGTGTTCTTTTTATGTATGTGATTGTTTTGTAAATGTCTGTAACAACAAATGGTGTCTGTTCCTCAATCCATCCAGATTGAATAGGTTCCAAAAGAATAGGTTATAATTTCTGTTTGTATTTTCTTTGTTTAGTGAGACTTTGTTTTGTTTTTAATTGAATCTGTGTTCCAATTTCCTCTCCCTCATTTCCCAGTTTTTCTTCATATATTGCACTATAAACACCTGAGAGAGGATCAAACTGACTAGGAAAAAAATGTTTTGTTAACATATGCAAAACATTATCACTAGAAGAGAAAACTGGACATTTGGAAAGTATGCAAGAGAGGTTTTTGGGGGGAAGAGAAAAGGAGGATGTTTTCAGCGACTCCAAAATGCTTTATTGTGATATTCCTTGATACACTGAATCAATACATTGGCTATTTCATCATTGTTTCACTGTTTCAAAATAATCAAGTTAACTTTTCTTAAAGTGTTTTCATTCTTACTGATCAGCGTTTACAATTTATTAAATATGTATGCACCCTTTAAACAGAATCTAGGGAAAAATATTTTAAACATAAATACATTCGTTTCCAAACTACAACAAGAAAAGTTCTGAAGTAAAACAACTATAATAGAACCTCACTAATTACACTTTGTTGAATCATCACAAAATTGGTGAACTCTGCACTTCTTGGCAAATATTTAGTAGCCAACGCTATAGTGAGCGTTTACGTTGAAAATATTTCATTATTTTTAGAAAATACATTTACCAGTATACTATGAAATATAACAACTAACCTACATTTGAGAAAATACATGAAAAGTATATTTTGTAATGTATAATCCTTGCTTTTCTTTGTTTTTGTTCACTTGCGAATTCAGTAATGATCAATGGGTTTCCCATTCATTAACACTAATTAGCAAAGTTCTCTTGTGATAATTGGAAAAACCATCTGTTTCCATCTGTATGCATAGTCAAGCCTTAATCTGTGCCCTGTGTAGTTTTAGATTAGTGGGGTATCTGGTTCAAGTGATTTGGGCTGGAACTTTTTTAAAAATCAGAATAGATAAAGTGTATCCAGATATATTTCTAAATGTAATAGTTAAGTACAAGCACAGATATCAGTAAACCAAATTAAGCAGTTTTGAATTGGTGTTTCAGAAGTGTAATTTCTACCTAACTTCAGATTTTTCACAAATGCCTAGTCAGAGCTGTTTCATTTTAAAGCAAACAAAAAGTGGGCACAGTAGATCTTAAAGGGACAATAATAAACTCTGTACTAAGTTATTAGATGAGACCAGATGGAACCAGTGCCCTGTGAATCTACAGCTATGCCCAAAATAATTTTGTTCAGGGTTGGCCTTGGGGAGAGTTGATTGTCTGAGGAAGAATGTAGCATAGGACACCTAAAATGATAGCCAGTCTAAAGTATCTAAGTTGTGAGGAAAGGTTTAAATAAACATAAATTCTGAACATCATGAAAGGGATAGAGTAAATAGGCACATATTTTTTGCTGGTAAGAGCAGTGGAAACAGCCTAAAAATTAAATAGTATAAGAACTACCTCACACAAAAGAAAGCATATTAAACACTTGAGAAACATCTGGATTAATTTCTGGAAAGGGTATTGAGTGGAATTTAAGATTGTTGGTATTAAGATGATATTTTTAAGAGGGAAGATATTTTAAGCAACATTGCCTGTATCCATAACATTTTTATGTGGAGTGGAGTTATGCATTTAATAATATATTGCTAACATGAGCAAATTCAGATAACTTTTTATTTTACTTGGGCGTCATTATTTTAATGATACTGTAAGATGTGACTTTTCTAGTGCCATTTATTCAGCAGAATGAAGTTGTCACCATTTATCTAAAAGGAAGTTAGCATTTTGATTAACCTACACCCGGATTCAGCAAGAAACTTAAGCACATGTCTTTCTTTAAGATCATGAATAGTCCCAGTGAAATCAGTTGGACTGATCAAGCACTTAAGTACTTTCCTAATCTTACTCTGGTTACCACTCTGACCATTACTCAAAGGAATGAGAAGATATTTTTATAGGCCTAGATATTGCATTAGAACTGACTTTTTATCAAGGGGAGAGTCTTAGAACTGCAGAAAATAAAAGTACCATGCTACCTGTCCTTAGAATCTCTAGTGAAGTTGAGAATTTTGCTTCAATAAGGATTTCAGGGTTGGACCTACTGTCGATCTTTTACTTAAAAGATTGAAAACAAAGGCCTCATGAATAACAAGATACGATGGAGAGAGGTTTGGTGCTGTAATTTATATAGCTGACTGGCAATATAAAAAGACAAGAAACTACATGTTTGGTTCACTTTTAAGATATTCCTAAAAGTAATTTAATTTTTGCTATCTGGGGACATTTTTATCATAAAAATGGGGGAAAACCCCCCCCCCCAGTCACACAAATGGCTATTTGATTTACCCCTGAGAGATTTTTCTCTTTGAATAAGGACAGCAAGCTTTTTATAACTCTAAATATAAAGGTTGTAAAAGTACTATATTATGAATAGAAGGTATTTGTGCAGATGACTATTTTTATAAGACACGTTTTCCAAAGCAACACTGTGGAAATTATAGTTATTTGAACACTGTGATTTTAAAACATAAAGTAAATAATGTAGATAGCTGTGTTCTGTTTAGTTTCTTACTCAAGATATACTTCACTAATTTGAAGAATTATTAAATCTGTTCAGATTGAATCACAAATTAATCATTTTTTTTCTTACTTTCCCAAGATTCATTTTAATACCTCATGTTCCAATTCCTTTGTTAAGAATCAGTTTAGCAAACAATTTGTTAGCACTGTGTAAGTTGTCTGTTGAATGGAGAAACTTCTTAAATGTCTGTTTTTTGAAAGTAAGATTGATGGAAGGCAGATGCACAGAATTATTTATGCTCATTAGTGAAATGTATCCAATTTTTCCCTGTGACGATTTAGTAATATGTAGTTTACATAGCAAGGCAGTACTAAAAAGATGACTATGGTCTTGCTAGTCTTATTAGGTCTAATAATTTTACATTAAAGCAGGCAGTTGTATATATTGTATAGTGATACCTTGTGCAAAATATGACCTTGAAGAATCCGCACATACAAAAAGGTACAGCTGTTTTCACAACTACTTAACTTCATAAACACTAGCTGGTCAGTTGGAGCCATGTCTACACTACCGACCTTAGCATGGTACAGCTGCAGCTGTGCTACTGTATGGACTCCTGTTGACATAATCAATCCATCTGTTGTCCTCCCTCCCCCCACCCATGAGCATTAGAAGCTATGTTGGAAGAAGACATTCTCCTGGTGAAATAGCACTATCTACAGTGTTGCTTCTGTCAGTGAAACTCATGTCCCTCAGAGAGGTGGGGTTTTTATACCCCAACTGAGAAAAGTGCTAGTGTAGCGGTAGCCTAGATCTTTGGAAAGTTGACAGTGTAAATTCATCCACCAAAGTATGTCAGTGTGCCTGTCCAAAGCTACTTCAGCTATAAACATCTCGATGGACTTCCCTGAATGTGAGTTGCTATTTGGCAGTTAGTAAAGGTGACTTGTTAGATTTTTATTTGCATGCTCTAATATAGAATCATAGAGCTGGAAGAGACCTCACAACGTCATCAAGTCCAGCCCCCTGCCCAATGCAGGACCAATCCCAACTATATCTGACTTTTCTTTTATGAGTTCAGTTTGAACCATAAGATCCCTTTGTAATTCAGAATTCAGTGCTGAAATCCAAGTTCTGAGTTCAGCTTCTGAGTGCAAAAGATGTGTTCAAGGATCGTTTTGTCAAACATTAAATAAAGGATAAAATCCACTTGCACTAAATTAGTGTTTTGTCTTACTAATAAAACACCAATAGTCTTAATTTTGCTCCTTCATAATATGTTTCTCAGAAACATGGAGTCAGTAATGTACTATGGACCTTCAGAGAATTTATAGAAACCAAACTATGCCCCTAGCTTAATAGTATTTAGTGTTGCATGTTAGTTTTATGTAAAGAAATAATCAGGCAGTTATATATAATTAGGTAGATTAAGTTGCATTATATGATTGTTGCATTTGATAAACTGTCACTTAAGATATAGGGGTCACTTCAATTTTTAAAAAAAGTCTTAACTCTTGCAGTAAAATATGCAGTCAGATTTGGGCTTGGGTGATATATTAAAATGATCATTGACTTTTCTGCTATGCGATATTACACTCTTCATCTTTTTCATTCATTTTGCATGCAACTGCTCACTTCTGTACAGCCACAGTAGAGGCAATTGAGGCTGAAAAAGGTATGATCAGAGTCTTTGCCAGTGGCAGAAATCTTTGGCATCTGGGTGGGAATTCAGAAGTATTCTGTGTGCCTGTGTCTTACATTCAACTTGCACAACCAGACATGAATACTAGCTGTATTGATTCATCCCTTATATATGTGATATTAATTTCTTACCTAGCATAATTATTGCCTTTGAAAATGTTTCAGAGAAATCATTTTGGTTTTCCCCCCGTTTCTTTGCAAAATGTGCAATAGTCTTTTACTTTTTATTTCTGTAAAGCATGTTGTGATATGTGGTTTGTGTCTTAGTGACTTAAAAAGTGGTAGTGTTGAATTTTGTTTATCTCTGGGTTTGTTTTGGGTTGGGGGGAGTTATTTATGCATGTTTCTTTTGATAAAGTTTATTTTAAAGGCTTGAAACCTAATCTTTTCATCACTTTCCATAATGCATTTGGTAGTGCAAGACATAGCATTATAGAGTTCCTGCTTTTACAGTGAAGTTTTGAAAGTTAGTTTGCTGACCAAATTTGTTTATAGTAGGTACCCACATCTGACTATGTAAGGCATAGGAAAATACTGTGCTGTTGTACTAAATATGTTGCTGTAAAGGCACCCTTTGTTAATGTTAACATTATTACAACCTCACAAAATTTTAGGGCATGTAAATAAGTGCCTTTTCCATGCACATTTTGATTTCCTGTATCACCGTGTTAAATGAAGTGAATGACAAACCGCATAGTAATTGGGAGACTCACCTTAGTATGTTTCAAATTTGGTCACAAAACACCATTTATTGACACTTTTTACATTATGGAAGTCAAATATCCAAACTGTTACCAAGACCAAATCAGTGAATACTGCACACAGGCATCTAAGAGGAAATTTTGTTTCTAATTTTTAGGGCTTGTCATATGATCAGCAATTTTACATCTAAAAATTCATCTGAGTAAGAAGGCATTTCCTGCTTCATTTGAAATGATGTGTGGAAGAGTAATAGCTACTTTCCCATTTAAAACAGTGCCCAGCTGATGACATCTAAGACTGTGGTTGTGTCCATTTCAGCCATTCACATGATTAGAACAGAGTTAGCACTGTATTCTGCAGTTTGGCCTGCGTGAAAACTGCAGGATCTGAATGTTGATTTATATGCAAAATCTGAAGGCTTTTTTTTTTTTTTTAAATGCTCATGCTGCTTTCCCAGGCTGCACTTGCTGGGCTGCTTATTGACATTCCGTTGAAGTGAACGGGATGTTAAAGTGAGCCTGAGACAGCAGCAAAGCAACTGGTCACACCAGGAGTGCCTAGCATCAAAGCAGGTTTAAGCCCCCTTGATTCTTATCTGACAAATATTTGTCATCTACTATTCTGGTTGTCAGTTGAAATGGTAATTTCCATTGAACAGCCCAGGAAAGCACAATAGATACATTTTTACGAAATACAATTGTAGATCTATAAAAGTTCCTTTGGCTAATTTCCTAGCTGTCTTTTAAAATCAATTGATTTGACAAAGTATATACTTTCCACTTATTTTTCCGTTACTGACCTATGAAATTTGCATTTTGTTAAGCAATACGAGGATTTTCTCCGCAACATAAAATCTGCAGTTTTGAAGAGGCAAAAGGTTTGGATAGGATCAATGAGAGAATGCCACCAAGAAAAGATGCTCTTCAGCAAGATGGTATTAATTCTATAAACACAACAAATGCCAATGGAAACAATGGGACTGGCAACAACAATGCACAGTGACCACATCAGCTTCTCGTTTACTTCTATGTCTTGCCTGAGAATTCCTAAATTACTGCTTTTTGACATGACAACGATGAAATAGCCAGGGGGATCAGTCAAACTGACTTCTTAATATGATGTGGAAAACCTAACTCGATCCCGCTGAAGACAAACCATCATGTATTTAAGGCAACAGCCCCTCTCTATAAGTGATGACGGAACATCTGTGAGCATGCTTCATATATTTACAGAAATTCCAACATTGACAGCTGAATCTTAAGGAGAGCTATGGGGCAGTGATTGGGCTGTTTTACTAAAGCACATCTAGAGTAGCATTTTTATGCATATCATAGTCAACATTTTTAAGTTTACAAAATGGGATTTTCTTTTCAGTAAAGCTAGTTGTTTTTTCAATCTGATACAACCCTAAGAGCTACTATTTATTAATGGACATTGATTTCATGAAGTGTCTTTAAAACCATAGATTACAATAGTCTTAAAAAATCTGAGGCTGCAAACACTCTATGTTAAATGGAAAAAAATGCCAAAAATTTCAGTTGGTCATTCTGTAAAATGCTGACCTCAGGTGTTCTCCTTAGATGTTGCTAACTCTGTATTATATTCACTGTATTTTTTAGTTAAGGTTTATGAGAAGATTTCTATGTAGGAATGTTTATTACTTGAACACAGATTTAAAAAAAATATTTAATGTAGAATCTCTTATGCCCAGCTTTTGAGACTCTCCCCCACCTTGCTTTTAAATATATATATAAATATATATAAATATTAATTTTAAAAGTCTGAAAAATAATGCAGTTGTTAATTTTACGGTACTTTTAATTGAACTTTGTACATTATGTTAAAGTACATTTTGATTCATATCAAGTCTGTAAAGCTTGGCTTTGTATTTTGTGTATGCATGTTTTCATTTTGCAAATATTTAATATATAGACCTCTGATTACCAGAACAACATCTATAGATTATATAGATGGTATGGGTACTTTTAGTTTATTGTGAGTATTAAAGTTGCTTAAATAGATGATAATCACTGGGCAAGCTGAATAGTTACACACTTTTTATTATTTTTCTTAATTCTGTAAAGGAAACTGAAAATGTTATGGAAATATTTTTGTTTAGACAGTGCAGCACATAAGCAATTGTTCTGGCATTAGTGAAAGTGTAAAATCGAGACTGCATGTGTTTTGATAGCTACCAGGACTGCTTGGTTAAACTAAAAATTGAAACCATATGCTGATTTGTTCACAAATAATGAACTGTACTGATTGCCACTGTACTTTGTTATATTTTGACATTTGCTACCTACCTTTCTCATCCCCTGGAACACAACTTGAAACTGAATTCACTAGAGTTCATCTCCTTTTTGTTTGCCAAAAAGTACAAGCTGTACAAACTCCCGTCTCAGCTGAAAATTTTATGCATGTTCTGAATTATTCAAGTATTTTATAAACAGTAGCACACAATAAATTTTGTGCATGGACTGCTGCTCCTAACATTGTGTTTTTGTTTTGTTTTTTTGAGCAGTATTTTCATAAGCATTTTAAATTAGCAGAAAAACGGGTATAGTGTAAATGGTCACTTAGTTCCACTCTAAAGCAATACTTTAATATAATTTAAGCTTAAATTGTCATCTTGAATTTTTGCTTCCATTTATTTTGCTAATTTTTGTTATTTAGTGGGTTCTTGCACATACAATACTTCAGAATTTTTCTCTGTTAAACTTAACATCCAGTGATGGCTTGTATAAACCTGCAAGGAAGCACAATGTTAGGGTTTATGCAAATGAAAAAAAAACAAACCCTGTTCATTATTGATGCCTTTTGTATTTGCTCAGTGGTTGAGAATGACCATTTGTGATGTCAAATAAGAAGGCTTGAGAATCAATAGCTCCGCAGTGTCCAACATGCTAGCAACTAGCCACATGTGACTATTTGGCCAGTTGAGTGTGGCTAGTTCGCAGTAACAGTAGCCACTATAGTGACTACTGCTTCAGAACTGGTTGGACACCACGGCAATAGTTGATATGGTAAGGTTGAATTTTGCTTTTCTGTTTTGGTTGAAAGTAAATGAGAAAATCTACTAAAAAAGACCATAATGTATTCTGAACTATAACCCATTAGAGTAATGATACTGATACACCACAAAAAACCTTCATGTTCTGATTTTACTTTCTTATTTTAGATGCAGTTTAATTGGAAATAGCGGTGAATAGTCTGAAAACAGAAGGATGAGTGACAGACAAAGGTAAGTGTTATCAGTAGACCATATGTATGAGCTATGTAGTCTCTGATACTTGGCATTGGGAGAGAGCAAAATTTGCACCAGTATATCAGCGTATAAACATTTAACTTGGACAGTGGTCTGCCAGTTCTGCCTTTTGATGGTGTGAATTGGAAAAATCCACCGGTCCTTAGCCAGTTGTCTTTTTAATTAATTAATTCTCTATGACCAATTTTGATAAGGCATGCACTTGCACATACAAAATAGAATACAATTAACACCTCATACCCTGTGAATACAATCCCAAGGCATAGAATGATCCCAGGATGTGTAGAGAGCGACACCAAAGCTTAATGTAATTAGAAAGTCTGTTAAAAATAGATATGCCTCATTGAGATTAGTTTTGCCTGAATCTCAACTTGCTCTGTGGATCACTATTTTACTAGACACCTTTAGGCAGAGAAATCTGCTTCTGGATGGTAACTGTGTATCAGTAAAAGGCAGATAAAGGAGCAGCTCCTGACTGACTGAGATTGAATACTCTGAGCTATACTGTACATACTTCCTAACACTGATCCCAGTAGTGTCCCGGTCACATGCATTAAACATTTGTCAGTGGATGCATTGTCATCTCTATTGCTGTGTGTAGTGTTGGTCCCAGGATGTTAGAGAGTCAAGGTGCGTGAGGTTATATCTTCTATTGGACCAACTTCTGTTGGTGAGATAGGTGAGCTTTCAAGCTTACACAGAGATCTTCTTCAGGTCTGGAACACTACTCAGAGTGTCACAGGTAAACAGAAAATAGAACAGATTGTTTGGCATAACTAGTTAACACTTTTATACTGGCTAGGGATGAGTTGTATCTTCAGAGACTATTGCTGCCCATTATGAGGAGAGTAAGGGGCATTAGTGTAACTGAAAATAAGGCACAACATGTTTATTCTGGTAATAGACCATCGCCTACCACTCCATGGCAGACTCCCAAGCAGTTGTTTTTTTCAGATCTGTGAAAGACT